TATATTGCAATATGTATACATTTGGAATAGCCGTTTTAGTTTTTCACAAAATTGAAGGAAAGTTCTATTATTCCTGTCTTTTTTCGACGGCAGTTTTAGTTTTGGTTTTTTCGGAAGTACAGGAGAAAATATTTCAATTAATCTTTCAGTTGTACCTTTCGATCTCATACCATCAGTTCTAAGACTGTTTGAACTTCTACTTCTTTCTGCCTTGACCAATTTATTAACATTTCCCTAAAACTAGAACATCCCACATCATCATCATCATAAGGTCGTAAGTCCTAAGAGTGGTTGGACACGCACCACCTCCACTCTTTCCTATCTTGAGCTCAACTTCGCATTTCCCTAAAACTAGAACATCCCACATCTCTAAAAAATATTTATTAACAGTTATTTAATGTAGATTAACTCCGTATTTTCATCCTATTTCCAGTTTTAATCTGTATGTGTCTGACTAGCCCTTCAACCCTTTTGCTATACGTATCTCACTTAAAAAACAGAATTTTATGTCCCTTTTGTTTTCAAACTGTTCAAGGAACTTTTTAAGTAATTGTCCTTTAACAATATTTTTAAATTACTAACAATTGGTAAACAGGATCAATTTGCTAATTTTCACATTTCTGCGTTTAATAATTTCTAAGAAAAACATTTGGGACAAATTAACACTTGAGTGGTCTCTCTCGTTCTATTTTTCATTGAGAGGTGCGGATACAGAACGGACCCCTGACCCCTAAAAAAACAACAAGTACATACGAGAATCATGTCCTTTGACAAATATAATAGCTTTAGATAAATGATGTGTACGCTTTTAACAATGTAATGCGGACAAAGCTTCTTGTATCACTTAGGTATCGACAACTACGGATCTTTAATCATTTGTTAATAATAAATGGTCGAACGTCAGTTCTCTTCTTCAAAAGGCCGCGATTAACTTGTTGATTGCTGAAGATGCTGAACATCGCATCGGAGGACACGGACTAAACAAAACAAAGAATAATTAACAGTTTGAGTTAACAAGAAACTGTTATTGCAATTATAGATAAGTGTCTGGGTAAATCGGGACTTAGTCTTCTTTTTTTTTTGTTACCAACAATGAACGGGTTCCATATGCTGGAATAACGGCGAAAGGACTACTTTTAAACATAAATATTCGGTATCTATACAAACCCGAAATTTGATTAGGTAACAAAAGACCTGGCTCGTTACTGACCTCATTCGCTGCATTTATTTGCTGAAGAATTTAATACGACCGTGCATACCAATTAATTACGCTTATTTTATATTTATGGCGGAAATTACAGATTCAAATGTACCTATCTATTAGATATATGTATAACTGCAGTTTTTTATTGAATCGGTTAGTAGGTAAGACAATAATTTAAAAGATCGGTCAAGTGCAGGCCGGATTTCCATAACGAACGGTCGGTGCCACGGAATAGTTACGTTTAAGCTAAACTTTTTATTTAAGCGTTTGATATGTGAAAACGTCTGGGTAATAAAATAAACGAAGTGAAATAACATTTACATTTTGTAGATATGCATATAAGAACCAAATATTCATCACAAATTGTTCAGAAATACAAGGACTATAAATAATCATCATCATTATCATCATGAGTTCGTCAGGTCTACCCGAGATAAAAATGTTCAGTCTCTCAGAGTCTCTGAAAGCGAGACTCGAGTCTCCGTCTCTCATTAAGTCTTCTGGTGTCGCTGAGAGAGACTGTCAAAAAAACTGTTTAGCGTCTCTGAACGAGAGACTGGACTCGCTCATAGAGAGATCCTCATTTTGTATTCAGTCTCTGAACGAGAGACTCGAATCTCTCAATAACTGGTTAAAATTTTGTAAGTTTAACATATTTCAGAGATCCCAGTCTTTCTACGAAAGATTCGAGTCTCTCAATTTTTCAGTTTGATTCATTCAGTCTCTTTATGAGAGACTCGAATTTCTGAATTAACAATTTTATCGTTCGAGTCTCTCATACAGAGACTGTGAAAGATCCATAAAAACACCAATGCAAGACTGTGAAAGACGCTCTCAGAGACGCTGAAAGACCCTGTAAGACTCTGAGAAACTGGAAAGAGATTGAAAATTTTTGTTTAGGACAAGAATGATAGAACATGAACCTCCACTTTTTCTTATCTTGAGCTAATTTTCCATTTCCCTAAAACTGGAACATCCCACATCCTTAACTATTTGTAAAGAGTAATCTAGTATAAGTCTACCTCTACTGCTCTTAACTCTTGTTGCTTTCAACTAGCCGTTCATACCTGAGAAGTATGGGACCAACCTATCTCGTCTATTTCTTATTGACTTCCTCTGTTCTCCTACTCTATCTAATACCTTTTCATTTCTAACCTTCTCTATCCACGGTATCCTCATCATTCGCCTGTAACACTACATTTCGAACGCCTCTAAACTTTTTCCTTTCGCTGCGCCCTACGTCCACGTTTCCATATATCTTTAACAATCGTTTTCGAATTTCTGACTAGGACGAGGATCAATTTCTGTCGCGAAAAAATGCATTATACATTATTACCAATGTTTAAAATTATTTCTTTTAGAACCATTTTGTTTACCGATTCATTGATAGATGAAATTAAAAATAGCGAAAGCAGTTAAAGGATATCACAAACTATGAAAACCAGTTATTGGGATCAATTTAAATACTATTTTAACAACACTGTGCGAAAACCATTAGGGTATATTCAACATTTTGAGTACATTGTTTCGTTAATGTGCGAAATCTCTTAAAAATTAACTATTTAAATATTCAAATGTATAATTACTGGGTTAGCCTACGTATTAACAGGTGCGATAAATATTTTTTCCTTTTAACAGCTTTATTGGTTATTGTTAAAGAACCGGGTATACTTATTATATGTTAGGTAACTTCTGAAAGGGGAACAAACTTGAAACTTAACACTAATAGGTTAATGAACTTAATTATTGCAATACATTGTTGCCTTAAGTATGATGGATAGGGGTCTGTCACATTAGGTCAACATTTTCTTCGCTTATTGGTCATAAAAATTAGTTTTCGAGTGAAAAAGTTTAGTATCATATGAAATACTTAACCTTAACCACTACAAATTACCTTAAATTAATGAGGAAAAATTGGTGTTGTTACACCCTCACCGGGAAACGAACCCGGGACTTTTGATTTTCTTAATGTTTTTCGTATGATATTAACAGATATACTGAACTTTAAATACTGAACAAAGTTAAGAAACTTATCTGCTTGTCAAGACCGCTTGATCAAGATCTTGACTAGATCGATATATTAATCGATGATGCAATTTTAAGGAATATAAGTTCACAGCGGGTAATTTACATTCATATACCCACTATTAATCTTACTGGAATGTTTTAAATATTATTAAGTACTATCTGAATTTTGATATTAAATGCTCAAAGTCAGGATTAATATTCCTTGAGTAAAGACAATAAAGCAAGACAATATTAAGGTCACATAAATTAAAAATAATACAATAACAAGGCAAGACAGAGGTTTACATTATAATATAACAGGAACGACATTTGAAAAACATCGATATTGTTTCGTCTTGCGACAATCCTTCTAGTCCCGCTACGAATATCCCACTTTAAAGTATACTTGCTTTTGTTATCTATTTGAGTTCTCGCGTGAGCCGTGCAGCCAGTCGCCCCGCATCAGCGTAGAAAGCCGATATCTTTAATATGTTGTAACAGTGACCTAGGCAAACACCACTTTCGAACTGTTCTAAAGTATAACATAAATATATAGATTTGGAAAGAGCTATTACAAGATGATGATGTTACATTCGTAGTCAACACACTTAGCATTAGTTTATTACGCGTATGTTGCAATTTCGTAGCAAATGTAAGCGAGCTGTCTTTGTGATACCTACATAATTATTTTTTAAATTGTAATTTGCTTTTAGAATTTATAGAGCAATGTACGTTGTATATATTATAATTGTGTAATACTTTACAAGTTCATTATATTTAAAAACACGTAACGCCATTTGTTAAGTAGGAGAGCGGTTTTGTTACATTAATATATTTTATTTATTGCGTTTGATGGCATGAGTGGTAACACTTTCTAACGCAATTTATTTATTCTAAACAACTCTGTCAGGAATTGGATCAGTTCCTGAACAGTTATGTAAATATGTGTAAAGCTACAATTGAGTATTTTAAATTCTAGAGAAAACACCGAACAATCTCTGTTCTGGATATGCTATTTGCGAAACATATGTTGCTTTTTTGTTTATTTTCTTTCTCTTATAGGGAAAATTGACTTTTTTACTCTAGTTATTTTGCTAATGTAATTGTTAATTAATTCATAAAAAAAACGCAAAGAAATGTTACTTTTATTGTTATTAAATTTTGTAGAAGTCTACTACTACATTTCGTTGCATGTTAGTTATATTTTCTTCATATTTTGTAAGTATCCGTTATGAGAATTATTTTTTGAAATTCCATTTGAGTAGAAACTTCGATGGCGTTCATCTTATTGGATCTAGGTTTAATTAATAAAATATATCAATAAAATGAAACCGTACTAGTTTCCACGAACTCCTTTTATTGTACCTACTGTAACAATTTTTTATCACATTATGGCCTCTTCAAGTAATTTTAAACACATTTCAATTCTGTAAAAAAAATTATATGTAATTAAAAAAAAAATAATTAGAAGTTATTAATAGACTTCTCGTAGAGATGTTGGCCTAACAGATAAATATTAATTTGAAAATTCATTCTCAACTTTTTTCCACTACAAGTTGTCTGAAATTAACGAGAAAAAAATTTGTTAATGTTGTTACACCCTCGCCGGGAATCGAACTCTTGACTTTACGCACCAATGCTCTGACCAGTAAAGTTCCAGAAGTGACAAATAAAATATGTTCTTTATTAGAAATATCTCATATTAAACAGTCTTCATGGAACTGATAAAATTTTAAAAACATGTAATGATGCTTTTTATAAATATATTATATTCTTCGTTTCTTTTCAGTTTTGAACGTTGCTGCCGGGAAAGCCCCCATGCAGATAAGTACCGAAGGCGGAGGAATTCCACAAAAAGCTATTGATGGAAGCACAAGTGCTTTCTTTAGTGCCAATACCTGTACGTCAACTAAACCTGAAAAAATGGCATGGTGGTATGTTAACCTACTAGAACCTTACATGGTTCAATTGGTTAGGCTAGATTTTGGAAAATCATGTTGTGGTAAGTACAATTTTTATGTAATAAATTACTTAACTTCAAGTCATCCTTAATGCCTACCCACTTATTTCAAATTCGTGATGATTAAGGTTACCTTAAATAAATTACTGAATTAATTCGTTATTTATCATTTTTTTCGCTTTATGCAATAATTAGCTATTATGAATTAACATACGAATTTTAGGTGTGAATTGTATTAATTTGTCCCTGTCCAAATTTCAATTATTTCAAGTAAATTGCGAAACAATTTGTGGGAATATATGGCATTGCAAATTAGGGTTTGGTGTATTATTTGTATTCAAATTCAGAATATCCCAAAAACTATTGTTAGGTATGTAAATTGCTGTTAAAAACGAAAAAGTAAAAAGTCATTATGTGGTATTTATACAAAGAAGCCTTACCTTTTACTTCCAAAAATTGAAGCAATTCTTTCAAGGTATATGTATAAAAAAAGCGAAGGAAAAGGTCTTACTTCAAGGGGTTCCTTTAAAGTACAAGGTTTTACATTATTTGTATTTATAAAAAGAAGCATCTGCTAGAAAAAATAAAGGATTTACTCCTAAAAACAGGAATCTAGGTTCACAACAACTGTTCTCGCTCTTTTCAACTTTGTAGTAGCTGCCTAGTCATCGCACAACTTGTAACGTAAAAGTTTATGAATTTGTACGATTGTTCTTGTGTTAAAATCTATCTAAACGAACTTGTATAAGTAATCTTTAGTTGTGTGGTCTCAGTGTTGTGCTTGTTATGGCTGATATGGTGCATTTACGTACAATAAAATACTACAAATCAAGACGTAGACCACGAGAATCAGATTTTAAAACGTTATTTAGATTTTACCCTGCTAAGGATTCAGTTGTTTTGGGACATCCGTTTCTCAAAATTAGGATTTTTTCAAAATTAAAAGAAATGCAGAATATCTCGAACTATAAGGATCGTCTCAGTAAACTTATTATCTGAAATTTAAAATTATTTGAAAGAGATAATTACAATTATAATTTTAACAGAAAATGTTTTAATTGAAACTGGCTTTTCCATACAACTGTACGTATAAATAGATGTTGGATATTTTGTTGTTCAGTTTTAAGCGTTCCCATTTAGAATGCAAATTTCCACGAAAGAAAGTGGCGCATTTATTCTATTAAGTACAAGTTTAATTTGGCGGCAACTGGGTGTAAAATTATGCGTTTGTAGGTTTTATGTTTATTATTAACGTCACTTAACATTAAACCTGAGTCACTTTCTCCTATGTGGAGCAGTGCCTACCTAAAAATACAAACAACAATAGCAGATATAATATCCTTTTAACTACTCTCTTAAGTTATTTCTCTGTATTAATGCAATTACATAAAATTGTTTATCATGAAAAAGCTAAAGGTACACGAAGTCGTTTTCCCAGTTCAGATCGTATTGACACAAATTCGTATGTTCTCGATTATTCAACATTTCTTGTATATACGTCCCGGATAGTGATTTTGTTGGGTACCCAATAACCGCGTACCCAGCAAAACCACTACGGTTAATGGTTCATGCCTTTTTGTGGGCGGGTTTTGAATTAAATTCCACATTCACAAATGTTCCAAAACACAGTAACTCCTATAAAATAATTCGAAATGGTCTGTATTCCGTCGAAACTGCCAGACGCGGATCGCGATTTCGATCTTTTTGGATCTCATCAGCGCATTGCAGGCAGCTCCGACAGAACACAGACCAAATTTTACCTGCTGTCTTAACAGTGCGTTTTAGAAAATACTACAAATGGCGCAGTAAACGCCATCTGTAGCGCGATGCTACATTTTAGGATTACGTATGCTCCAACAAGGTCCACATATGTGGATATCTACTTGCTGAAAACGAATCCCGGCGTAGCCAACCTCAACGTGATAGAGATACAGACCATTTCGAATTATTTTATTCGATTAAGCTAACGTGCCTATCACGTTGAGGTTGGCTACGCCGGGATTCGTTATCAGCAAGTAGATATCCACACATGTGGACCTTATTGGAGCATACGTAATCCTAAAATGTAGCATCGTGCTACAGATGGCGTTTACTGCTCCACTTGTAGTATTTTCTAAAACGCACAGTAACTCCTGTTGGAAAAGTCGCTTGAACACTAAACCAATGAAACTTTAATTCTTGGTTGGCTGATTTTCAACCAGTTGGTTGAGTTGGGAAATCACTAGTAGTGATGTGCTGGATCTCCGTATCAATGACTGCGGATATCCGTATCTATATCCATGGATATCCAAGGATGAAGAATGATCTGCATCCGTTACTTTTTGGTGGATCTTTTACCTTATTAAAAAAAAATATATTTTTAACGATTCGGCACATTACTATCACAATTAAGGATGCTAGATGTTCTAGTTTTAGAGAAATGCGAAGATTAGTTCAGTATAACAAAAACTAGGCGAGATAGGTTGGTAGGACACTTTCTCAGTCATGAAGATCTAGTCAGAGACATATTAGAGGCAGAAACAGGAGTTAGGAGTGGTAGAGGTAGACCTAGGTTAGATTACTGTTCGCAAATAGTTAAGGATGTGGGTTGTTCTAGTTATAGGAAAATTCACAGATTAGCTCAGGATAAGAAAAAGTGGAGGTGCGTGTCCAACCAGTCTTAGAACCGACGAATTAATACCCAAATTTCTAAAAATATTAGATACCAATTTCGTCCCTGTATTTCTTAAACGCAAGGATAATTTATTAGGTACACCGAGGTGTTGTTGGTACATAAATACCTATTTACAAGGATATACTACAGCACCTATCAACAATACGTATTGTTTACGATGTAAATTATGTATTTCAAGTGAAAAACGTGAACAAACAAATTTATGAGAATGCTATACAAATTAATTTGAAACAAAGTACGATCATCAAACAATAACCTTATTTTTTCTTAGTAGGTCATTATTGTGGCGAGAAAACAAAGCAGTAAACGCTAATACTTTCTAACAAGCTTGTGCTAATCTAATAACCCTAGAAGATAATCACTATAATAATGAGATTATCTATTATGTATTCTAGAAAAATTACTATCACTGCTGTGTCAATTTCCATGAGAAAAGCGTCTAAGTAATGTAATTACAACGAAATTTTCTCTTAAGTGGTCAAAAGCATAAACGAAAGCGCAATTTACCATAATTTTGTGATTCTCTATCGGTTTAATATACTTTCAAAAAGTAACGATTTATAAAGCCTTTAATTATGTCATGAAATTGCAAACAAAACTCTTTAGGGAAATTTTTAATCGCGTCTATCTTAAAATATCTTCTACTTCTCTATCCTAAACTAACCGAACTCTCAAAATCTTTTTAACAAACACAGCAGCCCTCTGATAATTACATGTAATAGATTACTGAATTTCTATGTTTGGTTCTTAACTAAGATATCCGGCCCATATCTAGTACCTATGTACTACAAAATGGTAAAAATAAAACGCTGCTTTTGTCAGTTTTTGGCTCGTATAATCCTTGTAAGTACATTGCAATTGGCTTTAAAAAGTCGTGTCAATTTCATCTAATTTTCAAAATATTTCGCAACGAAGGTTGCAACATATACGAGTGATGGTAATTAACTCAGTGAAATCTTTACAACAATCAATTTCCTTTCAATTCATTGCTTAATCGTGTAAGAAATCTTTTTCTTTAATTAACGACGTAGTACTTCAAAAATTACTGTTTGCATTTCCTTTTTGATTTAAACGCCAGGAAATACATTCAGAGTATAGTACCTAATACCTAGTTCTCACGATCATCGATAAAAATGTAGTAAAAATGTTTCCTTGTGAATTGTTTTTACTGGCTCTAAAACTAAAAGTCTTGTTCTTTTCGAAATCTATGTTTTCCGCAATGGAATACGACTATTACTATTAGATACCTTTTCGTTGTTAAGGCAAAGAAGAAGATATTGAAATTGAGTTAAAACAGTTATTTGTTGCAAAAGTGTGTTCGGTCCATAATATAACACAATAATTAGAGAGAGACATACCGCTCTCTAATTATTATGTTAACGGTAAAAATTCAAAAGTAATGACCTCGGAAACAAATTAGAACGCTATATTTGAGTTATTAAAATTACACGTTGAGTATTCTTAAGTACTTATTAAAATATTTATGAACTTATTTTACGAATAATATTTACATTTTGGCCTCTCTACTGTTTGTGATGAGTAGAACTGAACGGGATGTTCTTTTTGAACTGGAAAATTGAATTGTAAAAGTGTTTTTATATATGGAGAGTTGGCAGCTATCTGCATATAAAAAAATCGTACCAAATATTGATGAATATGGTACATGAGGTAGTTAGAGGCTCTGGATATCAAAACAAGATGTTTTAGTCGAATATATCACATTATCAATAAAATGTTGATGGGTAGAGGCGATGGATGTTTAAATAAAATAAAAGGTAGGTAAGTGTAGGGTTAAAGAAATTACTAGAAGTTAGTAAATTTCGTCTTCTGAGGCATGAAGTATTAGTTAGAGCAGAACAGAAGTAAAAATAGACAGAGAAAAACGTGGATTACAAATAGCGCAGTATGGGTTTCCCTAGTTTTCGGAAAATACAATTATTGGTTCGGTATAGAAAGCAGGGGAGCTAGCCGTTCGACCACCCTTGGGACTGAAGATCTGGGTGACAATGAATTCTCACCCAGCGGCATGACCTAGAGGTTTAGACCAATACCTAGCTGCTTCGATTCCTGGTCCGTCTGCCTTGGTCCAAGTTTTCTGTAGTTTTCTTGAATCACTTAGGCAAATGTTGGGGCAGTAATACTCCACTTTCATTCTATTCTTTCTTCATTTCGTCCGTCTCATCTTTCTCACCCGAACCACCACCCATCCATTCCTAAAAGGAGTCTGAAGAGAGCCTTTCGCCATACTTTCGGCGTTGTCCAGAGGGACTGTCCTCCCACCAGCATCAGTGGTTAAAGATACTTGTTGCTTGTTTGATAGCCTGAATTGATCTTATGTTATTGATAATCTAAAAGTGTTTTTGTGTCTTAAAACTAAATACACTTCGGCCACTACCCTTAAATTTTCCCCGTTCAACACCTACCTGAACAGTCCGTATGCAGGTATAGGTATGCGCTACACAATAGCCTTAGCGATAATTCAGGTAAAAACCTAAACCTATGTAGCTGTGTTACTGCGAAGGTATTGACGATGATACCCTTCTTGGTATCAAGGGGGTTAGTACCGCAAATAAGAACGATAAAGTCATAACAGTATCTATTGTATTTATAATAAAGTTAGTTTTACTGTGTTGATAAATAAACATTTTTTCAGTTAAATTAAAATTCTTTTCATTTAAATGTTCTGGGAAATGTTTTAGCCTTTTTGTATCATGCATGTCAGTGAACTTGAGTATTGTAAACAATTTCGTTAAAATTCGTCTAGCAAGATACGTGCATGTATACTCTGCTATGTGAAAATTGTTTTTGTAGAAAATTGTTAAAAAGCCAAACAATAGGTCCGACACAGCGGATGGTGCATACAATTAGCCTTTTTCCTGAGAAAACACTCCCTTTCTGCTTGTAGTAGAAGAAAACATTCGTGCAGGAATTGATAGTCGAAATGATTAAGCCGTAATGTAGTTGTAATTTGCTATGCACCTGATGACCCGTATAGACAACGCCTTCATTTGCAAGTACGGCTTGTGGTACGTGACATCGTGACATGTACCTGTTGTTGTAAAGGGAAAGTGGGTTATTTTTCAAATCATAGCCACTTGGCTACCGATTCTATTTGAATAAATGGTTTTCAGTGTGTATAATACCTTTAATCGTTCGAATAGTATAACTGGTTAACCTCGCTCAATTGATGGTAAAGCTTTTGGTGTAGTGTTAAAAATTTTAACGAGAATCGTACAGAGAAAGATGAAAAACAGCGAAGAAATTTTAGGGGATAACTCTGTAACAGTGTTTGTTTACATTTACTAGAAGGATTACCGATTAAGTAATCAGTACAATTGTTCATAAGCTGTTAGAGAGAAATATGGTAAAAAAGACTAAGTTGCAATCCGAAGCCGGCCCTGGCCGTGAATTGGCAACGTATAAAGATAACAACTAAGGAACTATATCAATGAAAAGTGTGAACAGTGACGGTTATGGAACGACTAATAAACTAAATGTTAACAGCATTAATTAAATAACTTCTTTGTTCATCGCTGATAGTATGCAGTACTATTTAAAGTTCGCCTCGACATGATATTAAGAACACAAAGTAAAAAACAATTACTCATATAACGCGGATGTTGTAGTTGACGGACTGCAGCGTTGCAATGTTGTATCTCTCTTCGTAACCCTACCAGGGCCGGACTGACTCTTTACTGTAATTTCAAATGCATTTTTCTTGAAAACTGTGAACTTTCGGACCACTAATCATTGACTTAATTTTCGTATTTTGTAGCGCCCTGTCACCTCTTGCAAGGTTGCTATTCATTTCATAAACACCCCGTATATGTATAGATTTATGGATTTAAGAACTTGAACAATAATCTTTAGTCGTGTTTAAACAAACAGAATTAGTTATTTGTGATTTTTTGTGCAAAATTACACTTGATGGAAAGTGAATGTAAGATTGTGTAAAATCTTCCTTCTAATGATTGAATTTTACATCATTGAACCATTGACGGGAACTCACGTTAATGGTTGAGTGAAGTAGTATAATGGTATCACTTGATATCTTTTAAGGTTCATTTGCTAAAGTTGCATCTAATTATAAGTGTAACAATCATTGCATCCATGCGGCGGTTTGTTTGCTTCTCGGTATTACATTTTTGCGGTTTACATTGTACCGCAAATGTTTATTTTTAAGTTGGTCCATTATCATTTTACAAAAAACTTACGGAATATTAATCTGCCAACTGTTTGAAAGCGGCTATTTCGCAAATTACGGTAAAATCCTGAGTTATTACTGTGCATTTGGAAGGTAATGCCAAACCATGCGAATAACGAATAAAAGTATATTTCAGAATTCCTCATACTATCTAATCGTCTTTTCAATGAATGGGGTCATCTCTCCATATATTCGTGTCTGCAAATATTTTGTATTTTTTGCAGTTGTTGGTATTTTAAAATGCTGCTAGGTTCTACTATTAAAAAATATGTAAATGGCCATGAAAGCATTTTCTTAAAGGCAAACAACGAAAAATCAAGCCAATTGTTACAATGTACTAAACTAATTCGTTTCTTTGTTTCACGGATTCATCTTCCGCAATCTTAGTTATCATTTCTAGTGGATCTTGTTGTTTTTAACTGAACTTTTACTTTCTCAGCCGTGGGAACGTAGTTGTTTATCTTTGTCAAGATCATTTACTGGCCCATGTTAGTCAGAAATGTCTGTCTATTCATCCATACAGTAATAATAACAATAATAATATTATTCAATTAAAATCAACATTTCACGGCAGAATAGTGATTATAATTGGAATTCAACTTAAAGCATCATCTAGTACACGTTTTTAGTTTAATGTCCTTGAAGAAATAGAAACATCAGAATTGTCACTTTTCAATAATTTCCACCAGTAGATGAGTAATATTCCTGTGTTTGCAGGACCCAACAAACCTGCTACTATAATTGTGAGGGTAGGAAATAACAGACCTGACTTAGGAACGAACCCTATCTGTAACAGATTCACGGGCTTTTTAGAAGAAGGGCAACCATTGTTCCTACCTTGTAATCCTCCAATGCCAGGAGCTTTCGTAAGCGTTCACCTAGAAACCCCTGTAGCTTCCCAACTGTCAATTTGTGAAGCATTTGTTTACACAGATCAAGCATTACCAATCGAGAGGTAATTAACAAAAAAATTTCGCCAAGGCGGTGTTTAAAGATTTTGTTTTTTCACCATAGGTGTCCACAATTTAGAGACCAGCCGCCTGGCAGCACAGCTACATATAATGGAAAATGTTACATCTTTTATAATCGTCAACCGGTTAAATTTAGGGATGCGTTAACATTTTGCAGAAATAGGGGAGGCAAGTTTTATTAAGCATTGAATAACATTGAACGATGTTAATTGGTTATTGTTAAAATACTAGGTACCTTGGTGGATGAAAGTAACCCGGCTCTTCAAGGGTTTATCAGTTGGGAATTGTGGCGCAGGCATAGAAGCGATGCAAGTGGGCAGTATTGGATGGGGGCGATCAGGGATAAACAGGTTGGCGGATGGAAATGGCTGGGCGGCGAAGAAGTAACAATATCATTCTGGAACCTACCTGTAGGCAATGGTGACTGTGCTCGATACGATGGCACAAGGGGATGGTTATGGTCCGATACTGATTGTAACATGCATCTTAATTTCATCTGTCAACATCGTAAGTTTCAAACTAACATCTTCTGGAGCAACTCTAAAAGTGGGAAAACCTATAATAAATATTTAGTCGAATTTAGAATATTTAGCTTTTTATGTTTGCTACCATTAAACTTATTGTGGATGATGTAATGGTAAACTTTTAGAGCCAAAAGCATGTGGTAGACCTGAACAACCACCCAATTCTACGATGATATCGCAAAGTTTCAATGTTGGGGCTTCAGTAGAATATTCTTGTGACGAAGGTCACTTACTTGTGGGCCCTTCGAAGAGAACTTGCTTAGAAACGGGATTTTACAACGAATTTCCACCTGTTTGTAAAAGTAAGAATGATATAAAACCTATTATCATTTTTTGACTTGAAAGTCCATTACTTCCAAAGATTTTTAAATTGTTACAAGTCCATTAACGCTTTTTAGAAATATCGTGTGGATATCCGGCCGATATACCTAATGGAGAATACGTTTTAGTCAATGATAGTGTTGGCTATTTGAGTAGAGTAATATACAGGTGTTTCGAAGGATTCCAGATGGTAGGAAGGGCACAACTTGCTTGTGACATTGACGAAAAATGGAATGGACCACCGCCAAGATGCATAGGTACTACAAAACAGAAATTATTTCATAAATTAGAGAAACATTTCAAAGTAATCTCGTGTTAGAAACTAATGGATTTACATTTGTTGTTTTAGGAATTGTTTGTGAAAGACCTTTAGAAATTGAAAATGGGTACTTTGTGTCAAGTAACAACAATACAGTTTTTGGAACAGTAATTGAGTACTTCTGTAATTCCGGATACAAATTGATAGGGCAACAACAAATTACGTGCATGTCGCACGGCGATTATGATAGTCTTCTACCAACATGTGAAGGTAAATGATACATTTTTTAAACTACATATTTTGTACTATCATATTTTTATGTGGTTGCGGTTAGTCTGAAATGGGATAATAGTTTTAACAATTTCTGTAAACATTGTCCCAAAAGTACTAACGGTATCGATCGTCGCCTACGGCATTCGTTCATATGATATTTCGTTTTTGAAGGTCAGCGTGAACCATTTAAAAAGGTGTTAAAATACATATATGTAATTACCAATCTGTGTGTCATTAAGACTAACTGTTAATTTGAATCTTTTTGTCACTTTTTCTAGAAATTTACACGACACAGTCAACGGTAACTGTTCCTGTGACCCCTCCAAAAACTACTCGTCCTTTAAGCGTGCCTCCTCGAACTAGAATTCGAACCATTCGTCCTGTACCAACGACAATTAGAGCGGAAATTGATGTGATTAGATTGGAAGACAGAGCGAAATTGACAACCTCAGGAACGACTCCACGAAGTGTCACTAAAATTACCGCCGGTACGAAACGACATCAGCATCCACACATAATAGTGGCAGGTCACCCTCAAGATAACGAAATAGCAGGGAGCAATGTTAATGTTCAACATGAAGAGGGTCCGCGAATTAATGTGCCTCTACCCGAAGATAGCAGGAAAGAATTGTTCGGTGCCAAAATGAACTTTGGAGCAATCGTTGCTTTGGGAGCTTTTGGAGCTTTCATTTTCTTGGCAGCAATTGTTACAACTATCGTTATTCTGATACGAAGGTAAGACCACAAATATATATTATTTCTCTTTTCTTTCTTCATTATGTCGTTCTCTCTATTTTCGATTGGTTAATTTATAGTTTAATTTATATAAAATTTTAAATACATCAGTGCTTAAATACTTTGGTGCTCTGGCAGCATACAAAGTCAGCTTACTCTAATTGAGTATATGTACTTAAAACGGTCCAGAGTTACTTTAGAATCTCATGAAACCTGTCTTGGGCCATGCAGGAACAAACCTCCACCCGTTGTTACATTTCTGCCTCTTCAAAACATTGATCGTAACTATTTGCAATTTATCTGAAAAAAAAAAAATACTTTTATGTGTTTTATTGGACGGGCAGTCCTTCCAGACTACGCCTGAGGGCAGGGCGGAAGACCCTCTTTTTAGGAATCGTGGGAATATGTGGATGAAGGTTGGGGTGAGAAAGATGAGATGAATGAAATGAAAGCCTTTCTGTCCCAGTGATCTGAAGAAACTACAGAAAACTTTGGGCTGGGTAGACGGACCCGGAAACAAACCGGTGTCCTCTCGAACTGTCTAAACCTCTAGTGTCTAGGCTATGTCGCTCGGTGTTTATCTGAAGTTCCATACTTGGTTTTACAGCGAAGTAGGTAGATTCAATTTACTCATAGAAAGGTACATGATTCCAAATCGGAAATATTCCGGGAATCCGCCTACGATCGATATTTGTATCTGCGCATCACCCACGCTGTACCTTATGGACAATAATTCATGCCTAACAGTCGATTCAACGTCTTCACAATGTCGTAAGGCCTGCCTCTCGTGCACGTGAAGGCTCATGAGATTTTGAACTAGCTCTAACTTACAATTTATTTCCTATGTTATAAGTAATTTCAATGTGATGTTGACATTACTTTTTGAAATCTTTCAATAATTTTACAGTAAATATAGTAAATCTGGTTTGTAAGTATGATCCATCTGTTTTTGCCTAATTAGGCGAAATAGTATCCAATACACCCCTGAACAATTTTTTCTTAATGGATTACTAATTATTGTTGTTTTTCTTGTGTCTGACTTTATGTATTTATTATTTCTCTGTCTTTTTCTTTCCCTTTCTCTCTCTGTCCACCGTACACATAACTTCATCTTGTGTATTGCGTGTCATGCAGTGCGGGCGCTTCTTCCCGCATGACGTCATCCCGTCGCCTGCCTTCGGCCAGCGCGATGCCGTCACGTTGGTACACCTTACTCGCCCTGCCATTTCCCGACCAGCAAATTGGCCGTCGGGACTTCACCCGCAACTACAGGAGCGCTCATCGCGCCGGATACTTCTCCAACCCATTGTAGCGTAAATAACTGACTCTAGTTAGTGACTTAAAAAAAGTTGTTATGTTTGTTGACTTGATCTTATCATAAAAAGTACATAATATGGTCGAGCACACATTGCCTCCCACAGGTAGGACAGCACCGCACTGCAACACACCGCATCGCATGACCTCTTATTGTTGCTACTTTTTGACTGCACCCTGTATCTTATTATGTTTATTTTTGTATACTGTAGAGCATCTCTGTGCTATCTATTTTTTTTAAACAATATTAAAAAGAAAAATTTTTTAACGTAAAATTTTCAGAAACTCCTAAATGAGGACGACCCATTTGATGTGGAAACGCGTATTATATGTTCTAAATATTTTTGGAGAAATTTATCCCTCATTTAAATCAAAACTCCATTTGATTTTCTTGCCTAATTTTGTAATGACCGTCCAGTATATGTCACATCGTCGTAGTTTTTTGTATTTTATTAAACCTTTATGAACGAAATTTAAAAGGAGGATTTGATTTTGCGATTCAACTATTTAATTTACTAATTTATTAATAAAAGACAAAAAATAACAATTAAAAGCAAACACTACTTTTTAATATTGTTTAATTATTTTCTACTTAACTGTAGTATTCTTTGAAAGTAGTAGTAGATTTTGAAAATATAGTTGGGTGTAGTTTTAAATATTGAGTACCTTTTATACTTACATGACAAATTGAAAACGAAAAAACTTTATTTCATTGTGATTCCAGGATTACCTAAATTACTTCTCATAATATCGTACTTAATTAAAGGAGTAATTTGCATTCATCTTTATCTTGAAGGCTTACCAATTACAAAATATAAGTTATCAAATTTACCCCAATAGTTTTTCTGACAAACAAGGTACACTCTTAAACCTTGTTTTCTATCAAAATGCAGGTTTCAAAAAAGTGTGTATCACTTTTTATACTAAACGTAATCTCTTAATGTCCTGTAGATCAATTTAGTTAACAATAAGACATTATTGCTATACAATCATAAGGGATGAATATCTAGAGTAACAATATCAAACATGTTTTCAAAAAAAATCGCGAAATGTTTATTAATTGATGGTGATAATAAGGGTTCGTCCATAAATTACGTTCACAAATAAAGGGGTGGGACAGCTATTACTTGGCGTGACAAGATATGACAAGGATGGGTGGGGGGGGGGGGCAAGGAAATGTGACTTTTCCAGTTCATCAATTTTATTTTAACGTTTTTCTTAACTTGACAGTTCTTAAAATTGTTCATTACGATATAAAGTGGTCCTCATTGGTATTTTTAATCGCAATTAATTGTTTATAGGGGAGGTGAATTAAGTTTTATGATCTAATATTTGTTAGAAAGGTTGTTGAAAGTGTGACTTGAAGGAAACTTTCCGAGGTGTCCGCCTCCGATTAAGTTGCGTTTAAAATATGTTAATCTAAATCAAAAATCATGAGATACGTAAGGAAAAACGTTTCTAAAGGGTGAAAATATTCCATAAGGGCGACAGTCAGGATTCACATATTTCTGATTGATATTTGCAAAAACGACTGAATGAATTAAATTCTACGTGAAAAATTTATGAAACAAAAAAAAAATTTTATTTTCGAAGGGTTGAAAATGAAGAAAATTCAATCGCAAAAAATCTAAAAAAATTTTTTTAATGGGATCAATTTAATCAAAAGAGCGTAAAGAACTACTAAATACATATCTACATTTTTCGAAAAAACGCAGTTATAGATACCATAAACATATTTAATCAGACTGTCTAAATTTTTATAGTTAAATTCAATGCATTAATTTCACCCCTTAAAGACGTTTTTCCGTAAATAAACAAATACGTATCTCATAATTTTTGTTGTAGATTAACATATTTTAACTGCAATTAAATCGGAGGTGGACACCTCGGAAGGATTCCTTGTTAGTGTGACGAAGTTTGAGGGAGGGACCCAAAAAGGTGAAATTCTGAGTGACGTATTTTATGGACGACTCCTAAACATTTCTGTTAAGAATTCTTTAATTAATGAAATTCATTCATTTATGTTAATTGGTTATATTTAATGCTTTGTTCCAATAGATCTGAAACAGCGAAACATTATCGTCATAGACCATCACCAGACTGTGGAACGGTAGCGTCCTTTTCCTCATCCAGTACAGGATCGCGCAATGGAGGATTAAATCGTTACTATCGTCAAGCATGGGAGAATCTACACGAATCAGCTGGAAGCAAAGAAGGTTTGAAACATTCGCCCCTAAGACGCCTAGAGACCATGGACGAACCACCGTTTAGAGAGAGGAATCACAGTGTTACCGATCATCCGGCATCAGTCGTTTTGGACAAAGCGGAAAAGAAAAGACACCATCACCATCATCACCACCACGATATCAGGGCACCACCAGGGATAAGGGAACATAAAAGGTATTGACATAATGGTGTAGTTAGTAGTCGCTCTCCCGTTATGGTGATCACCGTTAAAATTGACGAATAAAAGACACGCTGGTAAGTACTGTGCTTCGAATCGTCAGTATTGAATTGAAAAGTGAGAAAATTATATTTAGTGTGTATATAAACCGGTGCTTTCACATTTAACACCTTGGTAATGTAGGTAATAGATTTTTATTAGTACCTATGATAAGGAAAGACGTTAAAGAATAAAGTTATAAATGTATCAGAGTGAGAAGTATGGTTCATAAAGTCAATGCTAAATTAAAATAATGATGGGAATGATGTCCACAGAAATGCGGTCCAAATTATGAAACCCTTTAATTTCCACCCAATGCAAAAGTTGATGATTTCGTTCAATATCAGAAATTAAGTCACTTCCATTTAGCGTTGCACTTACCATAACAATACTTCTTATATCCACGAATATTGGGCGATGAGTTTAAGACTTTTTTAAAAAAAATTATAGAAAAAAATATTGTCATGCTACGAAATATTAATTTGTATTTTCCTGGAGCACGTATTAGATTTAAATATTTTTTAATTTATTTTTTTTCAATTTTTGTTTTTAATAGAATTACATGTGAGATTAATTTCGAAGTTTTTGTTGTAAATTAACGATGAATATATTTGCAAACTACTAAGAGAAAAACTTAAAATTTATAAAAATCATTTTTTTACGTAAAAATTTCTAAAAAATGCAGAAACATTTTTGTTGCCGTATCTTTTCGAATATCAATTTATAAATATTTACGTATGTATAACAGTCCGTAATACTTGACTTGACCCCCTTCCCCCCCTTTGCGTTACGTAATTATGGACAGCCTCTTATAATGTGATTTTATTCATTCAAAATTACTTGATAACGTATTAGTTACTTATGTATCTACTTATTTTAAGTAGCTAAGTAAATTGTAGGTGTTTTAACCAAAAATATAATATAATAATAATAACATGTATAGCTGTAGATAAATGTGTAGTAGTGCCATTGAATTAGGCATACGAAAATGATCATCAAATTGAATAATCTATCTATAC